GCTCTACCACTTGAGCCACAGAGCCACTTCCGGCTTTTTTCTTTTTGCTTATGTTGTGCTGAGGAATCAAACCCAGGGCCTCAGGCATGCAAGGGAAGTGCTCTACCACTGAGCCACCTTCCCAGCCCCCCCAGCCTGAATCTTTCAAATGTGAATCAGCTCTCATTAGTATTCCTTCATTATGATGTCCTTCACCTTACCATGTTTATCAAAATATCATGCTAAAGCAGCACACCATAAATATATATTTTCTAAATGAAATATTTATTTTTAAAAAGGCTTTCCCCAATTTAGAGGAAAAAAAACCTCATGTAAGAATTCCATTCCAATGTTAAAAAGTTTTTAACAGCCTGGTCAAGTTTAAGATTCAGAGCAACTTCTAAAGATATTTTAGCTGCATTCTAGTTTAGCATGACACCAAAAATCTAACTATTCCTTCAATGCAGTTTGCAAAAAGGTATGTCTTAAGTACAAGCAAAATACATTTAGAGCATGGCACATACTGTGCTATGAAAGGATAAATTACTAATAAACATTGTGGCATGTGAGTATCTCTGGAAAGAAGGAATCAACAACACTACTAAAGATTTTTTCATGAGAAGACGACCCTGAGTTTACCTGTTCCTAGCATAACAAGAAGCCCACTACTAAGATATGTGGAATATCCAGAGTGTGACCAGGCAGTATTTTCTTTTGTTGTGTGGCAATATGGGTCATTCAGCTTACTTGCTCACTTGAGCCATGACTTCAGTCTGGCTTTTTACTAGTTATTTTGAAGATGGATTCTGACAGACTTTCCTGTCTGGGCTGGCTATGAACCACAATCCTCTGTATCTCAGCAGTCTTAATACTTAGGATTATAGGAATGAGCTACCAGCGCCCTATTACTAGTATTTATTCTTGATAAACTACAATCAAATTGAAAGGACCATGGAAAAGCCACATTCTCTTACAGTTTTGGTGTGCCTTAGGGTACCTGAAAATTAACTTTAGGGGCTAGAAAGAAGTGGTTTCTTCTTGTTCTTCAGACTCCCTATCCTAAAATGACAAATTTCACATGGCTTTGCAAGGACACCCCCTGGAGTGTGGTTGAGAAATTACACTTGCATGGCTTTGAAGACTTCCCTCACACTAACATACATTATTCTGCCCTACTGCCTGAAAACCCAGGTGACACTAGCGCTTGTTATGGCTTATTATGTCCAGTGAATGAAAATCTGTACCTGAGATCACTGATGGCAGACATGTGGCATGTGTACCACATCATCTAGATACTTTGTTCATCTGTAAACTTTTTCTCCCATCCTATCTCCACAAAATGTCAGAGTACTTACAGCAACATGAAGGAGGCGTCGAATAGCTTTGTTGTTCCCAGAACCACAATAAGCCATGGCTACGGTATACATTCCAGACCTTCGAAGAATTGGGTCCTAAGAAAGGATAGTTCAACATCAGTCTTGAACTTAATCCAAGTAGAAACTGCTAATAGGCACAGTGAACAAGCCTGTAGTCTCAGTTACTTGGGAGGCTGAGGTTGGAAGATTACTTGAACCCAGCCTGGGGAACAAAATGAGACTCTAATCTCCAAGACAAAATCAAACAAATAAGCCTACATGCAAACAAACAAAATAGTAATTGTTACAGTATGATAGGTATAATATAGTAGTATCTATAAGGTTAATTTTTTTTTTAAAGAATCCATGAACTCAAGAATTCTTCCATGTTTGTTAGTTTCCTAAACGAAGTGAAACTAATAAAGGAGGATTTGTTCTTCCCAATTTTATGACAGTATTTCTACCCTACCTCATACTCTTTCTCTCTCTCTCTCTATATATATATATGTAAACAGCCAACAATAACAGCTATAGGAATCACTTATATTTAAGATGAAAAATAAAGAAGTTGGCTTCTCATTATTCCAATTCTCGCTTACCTTTTTACCTAATTAGAGGGCAATATGGAATTTGACATTAATATCTTCACCAATAAATTGTGGAAGTAGTTCTTTTTTTATTAGCTTTTAGTGGCTTTTACAACTTACAACTATCTATCTACCATACATAATAATATCACTCTAATAATAAAACTAGCTGGGCACTGATGGCTCATGCCTGTAATATTAGCTACTCAAGAGGCTGAGATCTGAGGATCACGGTCCAAAGCCAGCCCAAGCAGCAAAGTCCATGAGACTCTATGTCCAATTAACCATAAAAAAAAAAAAAAAAAAAAAGCTGGAAGTAAAGCTGTAGCCATGGCTCAAGTGTCAGAGTGCTAGCCTTGAGCAAAAAAGTTCAGAGTCAGCACCTTGGCCCTGAGTTCAAGCCCTAGGACAAGAGCAAAAAACTTTAACACAATAAAAATGAAAGATAACAAGAAAAAATTTACCCAAATAATTAATTATAGAGATATTATTGTTTTCTGATAGAAAGAATCATGACATAATAAACTTTGTATCATATTTTATAAAAATGTTACCCTTCTTAATTTAGACATTTCAAGTACAGGGACTCATATTTATGTCCAGGGCTGTTGGGCCTGCCATCCTCCTATTTATGTTTCTCATACTGCTAGGATGATAGGTACATGTACTGCATCCAGATTTTTATTAGCTGAGATGAAGTCTCATGAACTTTTTGCCTAGGCTGGCTTTCAGCCATGATTCTCCAATGTCTGCCTCCTAAGTAGCTAGGATTGTAGGCATGAGCTAACTGTGGCCAAATAAACTTTGTATCTTTCATTTTTTAAAGAATCGCCCTGGGGCTGGGAAGGTGGCTCAGTGGTAGAGCGCTTGCCTTGCATGCATGAGGCCCTGGGTTCAACTCCTCAGCACCACATAAGCAAAAAGAAAAAAGCCGGAAGTGGCTCTGTGGCTCAAGTGGTAGAGCGCTCGCCTTGAGCTGAAGAGCTGAGGGACAGCGCCCAGGCCCAGAGTTCAGGCCCCATGACTGGACCCAAAAAAAAAAAAAAAAATCACCCAGAGCCAGTGGCTCATGCCTGTAATCTTAACTACTCAGGTGGCTGAGATCTATCCATCACAGTTCAAAGCCAGCTGGGGCAGGAAAGTCAGTGAGACTTTTATCTCCAATAAACCACTCAGAAAACCAGAAGTGGAGCTGTGGCTCAAGTGGTAGAGCACTAGCCTTGAGCTAAAGAGCTGAGGGACAGTGCCCAGGCCCTGAGTTCAAGCCCCACAGACTAACAACAACAACAAAAAAAATCCTTTTCAAAATTAACTTGTAAATTCTTAAAGAACTTTTCTAGATCTGTTTATCTGAATTATCACTGATTTATAGCCATGGAGAAATTGAAGATCCTCAAATTACTACTTGTACTCACCTCTGCCAATCAGTGATTTTCCTTAAATTTTCTTGCAAATATATATTTTGCAAGAAATTTGATGAATAGTCTGGGAATATGGCTTAGTGGTAGAGTGCTTGCCTAGCATAAAGCTCTGGGTTTGATTCCTCAGAACCACATAAACAGAAAACGCCAGAAGTGGAGGCTGGGAAGGTGGCTCAGTGGTAGAGCACTTGCCTTGCATGCATGAGGCCCTAGGTTTGATTCCTCAGCACCACATAAACAGAAAAAGCCAGAAGTGGAGCTGTGGCTCAAGTAGTAGAGTACTAGCCTTGAGCTGAAGAACCGAGGGACAGCGCCTAGGCCTAGAGCTCAGGCCCCACTACCACCTTAAAAAAAAAAAAGAAGAAGAAGAAAAGGCCAGAAGTGGCACTGTGGCTCAAGTGGTAGAGTGCTAGTCTTGAGCAAAAGAAGTTTAGGGACAGTGCCCAGGTCCAGAGTTCAGGCCCCAGAACTGAAAAAAAAAAGAAAAGAAAAAAGAAATTTGATGAACAAATGTACTAGGTCTTCTGAGGGGAACAGAAATCATTTTCTAGAGAACCAGAGTACAGGATGTGACAGAGAAGGTAAGTGAGGCTTTACCTTATCACGGCAGAGAGATTCAATGAGAGCATCAGCCTCTTCCATCCTCCCATACATCACTAATGCAATGCCAACTGCAAGACCACGCAGAATCTTCTCATGTTGAGTTTCTTGTGCGTAGCCAACCATATCCTCAATGGCCTGGGCGTTTTTAGAGCCTAACATAACCAAACCTAAAGCCAGGCCAGCTGCTTCTCCTAGTAAGCAAAAAATAAAGAGTGTTATGTTTACAGAGTCAATAAAACATATCCAAGCCAGGCACCGGTGGCTCATGCCTGTAATCCTAGCTACTCAGGAGACTGAGATCTGAGGAGTGCGGTTCAAAGCCAGTTCGGGCAGGAAAGTCCATGAAACTCTTATCTCCAAAAACCCACCAGAAAACCGGAAGTGGCGCTGTAGCTCAAGTGGTAGAACGCTCGCCTTGAGCTAAAGAGCTGAGGGACAGGGCTCAGGACCAGAGTTCAAGCCCCATGACTGATAAAAACAAAAACAAAAACATATCCAGTAGGGTACCAGGGGCTCACACCTGTAAGCCTAGCAGCTTGGGAGGCTCAGAGACTAGCCTGGTACCAGGCGCCAGTGGCTCACGCTTGTAATCCTACCTACTAAGGAGGCTGAGATCTGAGGATTGTAGTTCAAAGCCAGCCTAGGCAGGAAAGTCTAGGAGACTCTACCACCAGAAAACCAGAACTGGCGCTGTGGCTCAAGTGGTAGAGCACTTGCTTTGAGCTGAAAAGCTGAAGGACAGCACCCAGGCCCAGAGTTCAAGGCCCATGACTAACAGAAAAAAAAAAAAAAAAGAGAGACTCTAGCCAGGGCAAAAACATTCATAAAACTTAACAAAGAGCTGGATGTGGTCACATGCACTATCATCCTAGCTTTGTGGAAGTGTAAATAGTCAGATTGTGATCCAGATGTGCACCTGGGGAGGAAGTAAGGCCCTACTTCAAAAATCACCAAAACAAAAACGGAATAGAGTTGTTGCTTACAGTAGAGTATTTCCTAACCATGCTGAGACTGTGAGTTCAAACCCTAGTTTTTTCTAAGGGGAAAAATAAATACCTCTCAAAAAACATATCTACTTGACTTGTATCATTCATCAAAATAACCACTAATTTCTATTAGCATTTTTTCAAATCATGTATCAAAAGGAAGATATTGCTTAGAAATACATCCATACATTCACAGCTGTTTTCCTTTAAAACAATCTTGATGAAAAGTACCATTAAATCCTACAGTAACTTCAAGGGAGACATTATAGCACCATTTTTCTACATTATTGCCAAGCACCACAGAATATCCTCATGATACAGATTACTCATAACTTCTGCAAAAGTCAGTGATAATACACAGGATATATTTTGGAAATACATCACAAAATGTGATTTTTATAAGATAAATCTGCCATTTGGGGCAAAATCCACGCCTTCAAGTAAATGATCCACTGTATTTTTAAGAGGCTATCCCCCCTCCAAAAATGGACAATTACATTAATTAATCCTCATGTTTACTGTCTTTAGAAGTACCTGTCACAGCATCATCCTGGTAAAGGTTTGTTTTAAGCAAATCATAGACATCCTGGCGAGCAGTTCCCATGGCAGCCAAACCAAGGCCCAGACTGCCTCCATGTCGAACGATCTAAAGAAAAAGCATTGGTTCCATTGATTTTTGTATACTGTATTAAAAATCTAGCCAGGCGCTGGTGGCTCACGCCTGTAATCCTAGCTACTCAGGAGGCTGAGATCTGAAGATCGTGGTTCAAAGCCAGCCCAGGCAGGAAAGACCATGAGACTACTATCTCCTATAAACCACCAGAAAACCAGAAGTGGCGCTATGGCTTAAGTGGTAGAGCGCTCGCCTTGAGCTGAAGAGCTGAGGGACAGCGCCCAGGCCCAGAGTTCAGGTCCTACAATAGGACCCAAAAAAAATAAAAAAAATCTTAAGTGTCAATTCTAACTTCAATATATATGTATTTTTTTGGGGGGGTACTTCTCTCTCTATATATATATTTATATATATACATTTATTTTTTGGGTCCGGTCATGGGGCCTGAACTCTGGGCCTGGGCACTGTCCCTCAGTTCTTCAGCTCAAGGCGAGCGCTCTACCACTGGAGCCACAGTGCCACTTCCGGCTTTTTTTAAATTTTTGCTTATGTGGTGCGGAGGAATCGAACCCAGGACCTCATGCGTGCAAGGCAAGCGCTCTACCACTGAGCCACCTTCCTAGCCCCTCAAAATATATTTTGATATTACTTATGTACAGGTTGGCTCCATCATAGCAATGAAAGATCTAATAACACAAAATCTAGTGATAACTTCAATTTTAGTTTTAACAGATCATAAATTGCTGACATAAATTACAAGCAGAGAAATAAAATGGATAAAAGAAAGTGGACATAGAGAGTACAACTCTCTTTCGATAAATTTAAATGCGAAGGAGAAGAGAAAAAATGAACAACTAAGATGCAAGTGTTAGGAAAAGATTTTTAGAGGGAAGGGAAATGAGTGAAACTTAGCATGTTTATGGGACAAGAAGAAGGAGCCTTTCTGTATGCCAACAATGAACTAGCGGACAAGGAAATCATGAAAACAACTCCATTTGCAATAGCCTCAAAAAAAGAAAAGAAAAAGAAAAACAACCAACTAAAAGGAATAAATCCTACCAAAGACATAAAAGATCTTTATAGTGAAAACTATAAGCATCTGAAGAGAACTGGGAATGAGGCTTAGTGGTAGAATGCTTGCCTAGCATGCATGAAACCTGGGTTCGATTCCTCATTACCACATAACAGAAAAAGCTGGAAGTGGCGCCATGGCTCAAGTGGTAGAGTGCTAGCCTTGAACTGAAGAGCTCAGGGACAGCACCCTGGCCCAGAGTTCAAGCCCTATGATTAGCAAAAAAGAAGGAAAGGAAAGGAAAGAAAAAAATTGAAAACAAGACTGACATAGAAAGATCATTAATTCAAGGCCAGCCTGGCTACACAGGAAGATCCTGTCTCACTACCATCCCATCAAAAAATAAGAAATGAAATACAAAAAACTCTGGATGAAAAAACCAGGGTATTTTGGCACAATATAATTTTCTAGTTTTAAGTAATAGAAATTTAGTTTTTCATCTCAATACTTACATCATTGCTGGCATTCTTGAGCTGATTGAGCAGATAGTCAATTATGTCACCACCATGATTGGCATGAATGAGACCCAGTGCATAGAGACCTCCACCTTCCTGATAGGCTGATCCTGGAGAAGTATCCTTTGGAAGGTAGGTTGCCATTAATTGTAATGCTTCCTTCTCATGCCCCTGTAGATTTGAGTCACAAAGATGTCAATAAGAGAAAGGGAGAAAAAAAAGCACACATAGTACCACTGTAATTTCTGTCTTTCTCCTAGAATATCCATTTGCTGGAGGAAAGAGAGGTAGTAAAGAAAGCTCTTTTTCCTATAGACTCAAATGAGAGCCTTTAAAAGACAACGATATTTAGAAAACAATGGAAATACTTCTATTTTTATTTTTTATAATATTTTCCCAAGTTCACCTTAGACTATGAAAATCACATTTAAATTTGCCCTTTGCAAAATGTAAAATAATGTCTTAGTCTTCAGAGGAAAGAATTTCTACCTTTTATTAAAAAAAAATGAATATACATTTTAACTTTCTTGCTTACAAAATATACCTGCCAATGAACTGTAACAGGCATTTATTTCTTAATTCCAGAAAAATTGCTTCTGTTCTGATGCCCACTGCTCACAAAGAACAATATATATTACCTTATGAATTACACCCAAACTGGCTGTAGCAGTAAATTTTGCCCAGTTTGTTGCTCTGGCCAACCATTCCAAGTTATCTCTGTAAGAAAACAAAGCTTATTACTGCTGATTCTATCTTACTTTCTAACGTTTTTGAGACAGGGTTCAGTACACAGCCCAAACTCTAAATCCTCTCACCTTAGTCTCTCAATTGCTAGGATTAGAACCATACAAAACTATGACTAGCCAAGTCATTAATATTTTAAGACTTCTTTCAGAGATTAGTATGTTTCCTTCAAAAGCCTATTATCAAGCTAACAAAAGGAATTAAGTAAAAATATGGAAAAAAATATGTACAGCTGGAAAGTGGTAGCTCATGGCCTACCATCATAGCTACCCAGGAAGGTGAAGTCTGAGGATTGTGGTTCAAGGCCAGCACAGGCAGGTAAGTCCATGAGACTCTAATCTCCAGTTAACAACCAAAAAGCCATAAATGGAACTGTGGCTCAAGTAGTAGAGTGCTAAGCTTGAGCATAAAAGCACAAGGACAGTGCCTGGACCCTGAGTTCAACAAGCCCAGGACTGGCACAAAAAAAAAGTATAAAATACCTAGGACAGAACTGGTTGGCAGAGAAAGCTCTCTACATAGACATACAACAATGTCAGTACAGTCACAGTTAAAGATGATTTTAAACCAAAGTAGAAACCTCTAAGCATATTTACCTTAGAAACTGGTCACTGGTAGTCCCACAGTGCATAAAAGAGTTTGCTATAACAGTTGCTGTATGACATACAGAATTCCGTACTGCATCCTACAAAAATAAATAGTATCTTTATATTGACCAAGTATTCATATAACATTTATGAGAGTATGTATGCATGCTTGAACACACTCAAGAGCCCTTTTTTATAATGAAACAGGAACAAATCGATCTGAGATTTAAAGTATTGATATTAGCTAGGTGCTGTTAGCTCACACCCACAATCCTAGTTATTAAGGGAGCTGAGATTTGAGGATCGCAGTTCAAACCAGCCCAGGTAGTATGTGAGAATTTTATCTCCAATTAGCCAACAAAAAGCTAGAAGGGCTGTAGCTCAAGTGATAGAGCACTAGACTTGAGCAAAAAAGCTTAGGGACAGCACCCAGGTCCTGAGTTTAAGCAGCAGGTCCGGCATCAAAGATGCAAATGAATAAATAACAAAATATTGATCTTGACTAGAGTTGTGGTTCAAGTGAGAGACATCAGCTTTGAGAAGAAAAAGCAAAGCAGAAAGGGTGAAGCCTTGAGTTCAAGCCTCTCTACTGGTGGGGTGGAGAGGAGGGAAGAGAAGAGGAGGAGAGGAGAAAAAAGCTAAATTTGCTGGTGGCTCATACCTATATTCCCAGTTATTCAGAAGGCTGAGATCTGAGAATTGTAGTTTGAAGGTGGCCCAGCCAGACAAACTCCAGACTCTTACCTCCCAATTAATCACCAAGGGGGGGGGGGGGAAGCTGGAAGTGGAGCTGTGGTTCAAGTTTGTTTTTTTTTTTGTCAGTCGTGGGGCCTGAACTCGGGGCCTGGGCGCTATCTCTCAGCTCTTCGCTCAAGGCTAGTGCTCTACCACTCGAGCCACAGAACCACTTCCGGATTTTTTTTTCTTTTTGTTTATGTGGTGCTGAGGAATCAAACCCAGGGCCTCATGCATGCAAGGCAAGCGCTCTACCACTGAGCCACCTCCCCAGCCCTTTGTTTTTCTTTTGTTGTAAGTGCTAGCCTTCAGCAAAAGGGCTAAGGAACAGCATCCAGCCCCACAACCGACAAAAGAAACAAACATTCTAGCCCCACAACTGACAAAAGAAAGAAAAAGAAAGAAAAAAGAGGGGGTGAAGGAAGGGAAAAAATAAATCTCCATTATGATTAAGTTTCCTACCTTTGTGTTTTTTAGAATCATGAGGTCTGTGTTGTTATTTCTTATTAGGAACTGCAGATGTAACTCAATAGCCATTTCACCACTTAAAATTTTAATCATTTTCAAAGTCTGGTCCTTGGGCTCTGGACTCTGTCAAAATAAGAATCAAAATCCATATATTATTGAAATTACTAAGCCATCTTTATTCCATCAGCCCTAAATTAATTAAATTAAAAGTGTAAATATGCACAAACATACATACACACTCTAACATTTTAATGGTAGCATCTAGAAAATTCAATTATAATTATTTGAAAGGAAGAACATTTTATGTATTCCTTTTATTATATACAAGGATATATTGCCAGTCAATGGACAAATATTTATTCAAAGCTAGTTCCCAATGTAAAATATGAGCTCAGTCACTGCATACTGGCTTAACAAGCTTAAGACCCCCCCAGCTGACAACCTCAGCACCAAACAAACAAATGAGAAATTACTTTATACAGGGTCAACTTACATTTTCTTTGTTTATATTATTATTTTGGCAGTACGGGGGTTGCCTTGTACCTGCTAGGCAGACACTCTACCACTTGAGCCACACTTCTATACTACACATACACTTTACAGACAAAAAATTCACTAGTTATGATTCAGAAAACCGGAAGTATCTTTTTTTTTTTTTTGTCAGTGGGCCTGGGCACTGTCCCTCAGCTCTTCAGCTCAAGGCAAGCGCTCTACCACTTGAGCTACAGCGCCACTTCCGGTTTTCTTGTGGTTTATTGGAGATAGGAGTCTCACGGTCTTTCCTGCCTGGTCTGGCTTTGAACCACAATCCTTAGATCTTAGCCTCCTGAGTAGCTAGAATTACAGGCGTGAGCCACCAGTGCCCCGCAAACCGAAAGTATCTTAAACCAACATATACGCATAATCTTATGAACAACTAAGACACCAAGACAACTCTCTACCCAGAACAGCTGAGCTTTATGTATCTAAAAATCCTGAAAGAGAAAACATTACATTCAACACATCACTGTTGCTACTCCTCCTATCCTTTTTCTATATCATAAACACAACTACCCTGTCCCCTATATGGTAAGATAAAATTTTTCAATGTCATGTTTTTTGGTCACTTTGTGACAGGTTATTTGAAACTTTTCTACACAGAGATTGTTCTGTAGTAAGATCTCAAGATTTTTATTACTTTAAAGTGCTATTCCGAATTAATTTTGTAAAGTTACTGGGGCTTAACCTCAGAGCCTGAGCACTGTTTCACTAAAGACTGGCACTCTACTACTTGAGCCATAATTCCACCTCTGACTTTTTGCTACTTTATCAGACTTACTGAGTCTCACAGACTTTTCTTTCCAGGCTGACTTCAAACCTCAGGTCTTAGCCTCCTGAGCCACTAATGCCCAGCACAAAACAATCTATTTTTATAAAATAACTTTCCCCTTGAGTTTTATTTAACAATAACTTAAAAAGGACAGGTATTTAAGGGGCTGGAAACTCAAGTGGTAGAGAGCTAGCTGAGAAAGCAAGATGAATAAGTGAGGTTCTAAGTTCAAACACCAGCAATGCCCTCCTCCAAGAAAAAAAAAAAAAGCAGGTATGTATCACTATTTAAAATGTTTATGATGGGGGCTGGGAAGTTGGCTCAGTGGTAAAGCAGTTGCCTTGCATGCCTGAGGCCCTGGGTTTGATTCCTCAGCACCACATAAGCAAAAAGAAAAGAGCCGAAGTGGCGCTGTGGCTCAAGTGGTAGAGTGCTAGCCTTGAGCTGAAGAGCTGAGGGACAGTGCCCAGGCCTAGAGTTCAGGCCCCACGACCAGACCCAAAAAAACCAAAAAACAAAAAATTGATGCACCATATGAGTAACTGTTAAATGGCAACCTCAACTTCAAAAATACACTTACCGCCTCTGGTGTTTTTCCTACTAGTGCACTGCCTGTCTTTTCTTCTGTTTCCATTGTCTCACTAAAATGAAGAGAACCAACAATTCATAATTAATTTTTACCAAATAGAATCTGTGTTAGTTCATAGATCTGCAACTTGTCAAACTGTTATCATATTAAGAAAATAATGTTGTTTTTTTATTGTTGGTTATGGGGCTTGAACTCTGGGCCTGGGCGCTGTCCCTCAGCTCTTCAGCTCAAGACAAGCGCCCTTGAGCCACAGCACCACTTCTGGTTTTCTGGTGGTTTACTGGAGATAAGAGTCTCACAGCGCTGGGCACCAGTGGCTCATGCCTGTAATCCTAGCTACTGAGGAGGCTAAGATCTGAGGATCATGGTTCAAAACCAGCCCAGGCAGAAAATCCATGAGACTCTTATCTCCAATTAACCACCAGAAAACCAGAAGTGGTGCTGTGGCTCAAACAGAAGAGAGCTCGCCTTGAGCTGAAGAGTGCAGGGATAGTGCCCAAGCCCAGAGTTCAAGCCCCATGACCGACAAAAAACAAGGTCTCACAGACTTTTCTGCCTGGGCTGGCTTTGAACCACAATCCTCAGATCTCAGCCTCCTGAGTAGCTAGGATTACAGGCATGAGCCACTGGTGCCTGGCAAAAAATAATGTTTAATCTTTGAGTATTTCCAAGGATAATTAAGAAAAATTCTAAGCATTTCTAAGATAAAGGAAGCCCGATTATTCAATTCAAACAAATTTAAAAAAACAAAATATACATTTTGTTAATAAAAAACAAACATAACAAAAACTGGTGAACTCAAAATAAAGATTGTTCAGTTAGTTCTGATGCAGAAAAAGATACTTATACCTCTCTTTTTCTGCTCCTGGAACAGTACCCGTATTGGTGGATCCAGGCACAGAAGCAATAGGGGTACCGACAGTTCGAAGATTCTGGATTACAGATGACAAAAACTGCTGGCTAGCACTTTCATACAAATCAAAACAAATCTGATAAGCCATCAGAAGGTTGTCTTCCTTTACCAGTTTTTCTAAGATATCACTGACAGCCTGAGGATCATCTAAGAAAATTAAGCACTGAAAAGGAGATAAAGAACAAGCATAAAGTAATTGAAAACTTCATCTGCAAAGTATTTAGCACAGGGCTAACGGTCTAGCTTGAAACATAGGCCAGGTAGAACAGATTATAGTGTCTAGCATTCTAGTTCTGAACCCAACACTAGGCAAATGCTTCTGAAAATGCATCTGCTTTCCATAAAAAAGCCTATATACCTTACATTCACAGGTCCTAACATCATGCTTGGTAATTAACATTACTCAGTAACAGATCCTAAATGACTGTCTCTTCTTTGAATCCTTATCCATAATTACATCCAAATAATCCTTAACCTGTATCATTGGTACTGCATTGCAGGAGTCATTCATTCTTAGCACTTACTACTAGGCTTCAATAGAATAAGAGAGATCAAAATGATCACTGTGTGCATTTCTACTCTTAATCTGCCATCTACGTCAACAAAATTATCCTAATAAAATTAGGCCTTTCTTTTAAAAATCTGAGCTTAAATTTTCTTATGCCCTTAAGTAGCATTTAATTCAACTTCAAGATAAACTTATGTTCAAAGTTATTACATATTAAGAACAGAAAATAATGAGAAAAAATAAGTGACCAATTTAGGAGGATGCTTAAGTAAGGCAAAGTACAAACACTGAATGGCCACTGTACAATGAACACTGTACATAGAAAACATGAAAAAATGCTGCATTGGAAACTATAAACTCCTGATATTGTCTCCAGGGGAGAGAATTATGGCTGAAGGAAAGACTGCATTGTGTAGTCTATAGTTCTTTATGAATTTAAAAGCACGCATTTATAAACTGCTCAACACATTTTTAAAAATGTAAAATATAATTTACTTTGTATATTTTCTTTACTACTTGTATTTTTTTCTGAACAAATTCATCCACGAAAAAGGGATAAAATTATCTGGGTTCATTACTCAAACACAACAGGTATTTGAGCTGAGCCCAGATAATTTCTACACTTCATAATTCCATACTTCATAATGACACACTAAAGAATAAGTACTGTTTTTCTCCTTTCCTTTTTTTTAATGTGGTCCCAAGATTTTCTTAAATACTTTGATTATTTTTAAAACACACAAAAAGAATACATGAAGAGAAAAAGAATAATTTTAACAAAATAGGTATTTAGTGCTGTGAGATTCCATTTCTTATGGACTGTGTAAAGAGCAACTGATAACATGTGAAACTATTATAGTAATGTGATATAATTATGGGTTACATGGCACAGAACAGAATGGAGTAATAAAACAGAACGTAATATAACTGTAATTATAATATAATGTAATTACCTGACAAACATTGATGAAATCCGGTTTCTCTAAGTTCATGTAAATTTTAACCAGAACTCTTAGGACTTTATTCCGAAACTGTTTATTCTGCATTAAAGACATGCAGAGCTTAAGGCTATATGCTAGCATTCCTGGGACATCATTCTGAAAGACAATTAAAAGTATATAATTATTTAATTACTTAAATATTTTTTAGTTTAAAATGGAATTATTGGACTGTGAAGGTGGCTCAGTGGTAGACCGCTTGCCTTGCATGTCTGAGGCCCTGGGTTCGATTCCTCAGCACCACATAAGCAGAAAAAGCCGGAAGTGGAGCTGTGGCTCAAGTGGTAGAGCGCTAGCCTTGAGCTTAAGAGCTGAGGGACAGCGCCCAGGCCAGAGTTCAGGCCCCATGACCGACAAAATAAATAAATAAATAAAAACAAAAAATAAGCAAAAATGGAATTATTTTCTTCCTTCTTTAATCATTCAGAACTGCCAATGATTTCAACCCTTTAAACAATAAAAACCTAGAGCAGGGGCTGGGAAGGTGGTTCAGTGATAGAATGCTTGCCTTGTGTGCATGAGGCCCTGGGTTCGATTCCTCAGCACCACATAAGCAGAAAAAGCTGGAAGTGGCGCTATAGTCAAATTGTAGAGTGCTAGCCTTGAGCTGAAGAGCTGAGGGACAGCGCCTAGGCCCAGAGTTCAGGCCCCATGACCAACAAAAACAAAAACAAAACAAAACAAAAAAACGTAGGGACAGGTGCAGCGGCTCACACCTACAAACCAAGCTACTCAGGAAGCAGAGATTGAAAAGACTTCCGTTCAAGCCAGCACAAGGAAAAAGTTAGCCAGACTATCTCAAAAATAAAAGCAAGATGTGGTAACATGCATCTGTGATCTCAGCTACTTGGGAAGCATAGGTAGGAGGATTGTAGTAAGAGACCAACCCAAGGCAAAAAGGCAAGAACTTATCCAGAAAAATCAAAAATGCCTAAAATTTTAGACCATTTTAGCACATATTTTTCCCCCACATGCTGAGGACTGACCTCAGAGCCTTGCACGTGCTAGGCAAGTATTCCTGGGTTCATCTCCATATCCTTAGGTTTTCTGTTTTGTCTTAGTGGTACAGGGGGGTTCAAAGTCAGGGCTTCACACACATGCTAGGCTGGGGTTCTATAGAGCCATTACCTCCAGCCTAGCTTTTGCTAGTTATGTTGGAGATGGAGTTTAATGAACTTTTCTACCCCAGCTGGCCACAAATGGTGATCCTTCAGATCTCAGCCTCATGAGAACGTAGGATTACAGATATAAGCTGATCTACCCAGTTTACAGAGACAAATTGTACAGTTACATATTTATGTCTTTTTTTTTTTTGTCAGTCATGGGGCCTGAACTCTGGGCCTTGGCGCTGTTCCTCAGCTGTTTAGCTGAAGGCTAGTGCTCTACCACTTTAGCCACAGTACCATTCCGGCTTTTTATGCTTATAGGTGCTGAGGAATCGAACCCAGGGCCTCATGCATGTGAGGCAAGCACTCTACCACTGAGTCATCTTCCCAGCCCATATTTATATGTCTTTGTGGAATAATGGACTGAAAATAAGTTAATATATAGTGATCAACGACAATCATCACTATATGGACATAGTGTATATACTATCAGATTAATAATTATGAAAAACTATGTTAAACTGTCCATACGCTGAGTGGCCATGTTTTGCAATTATATCTGTGGGTGGCTTTCTACCTCTAATCTTGCTACTAGACTCTTTTTCTCCTGACTGCCTGCACCGACTGAAGGACAGAAAACAATGTGGTAGAATAACCTCTAGCTCCAGGACTAAAATAAGGAATACCATAATAATAATACCTGCCTGGCCAGGCACCGGTGGCCCACACCTATAATCCTAGCTACTCAGGAGACTGGGATCTGAGGATTGCATTTCAAAGCCAGCTGGGGCAGGAAAGTCTGTGAGACTCTTATCTCCAATTAACTACCAGATAACCAGAAATGGAGCTTGGCTCAAGCGGTAGAGTACTTGCCTTGAGCTGAAGAGCACAGGAACAGCGCCCAAACCCACAGTTCGGAAGCCCCACGATCAACAAATAATAATAATAATAATATCTGTCTGATGCTATGAGTGAACTGAGTTCACGAGGTGTGCTTACCCTGTGGTTCTCACAAGCAGCCCAATATTTGAGATATCACAATATAAAGGTCTCTCAAAATAAAGCAGCACGGGTTGGGTAATGTAGCTTAGTGGTAGAGTACTTTCCTAGCATGCATAAAACTCTAGGTTTGAAAAACTCTATGTTTGATTCCTCAGTACCACATACACAGAAAAAGCCAGTCCCTGAGTTCTTTTGCTCAATGCTAGAGCTCTATTACTTGAGCCACAGCTCCACTTCTGGCTTTTTTGTGATTAGTTGGAGTCATAAAGAGTCTCGTGGACTTCCCTGCCCAGGCTGGATTTGAATACTGATACTCAGATCTCAGCCCTCTGAGTAACCAGGATTAAGGCGAGAGCCACCAGCATTCAGCTTCTGCTTCCATTTTTAAGCATTTGCTAACCCTTTAGTATGTGGTTGTTTTATTTGACTATCCCCAAAATATTGATTTGGGCAAAATCTTAGTCTTTTTTGCCACTGTATTCTCAATGCCTAGAACAGTGGTTGATACAAAGTATTCACAAAGTATTTCTTGGGGCTGGAGACACAGCTTAGTGGTGAAGTGATTACACAGTGTGTACAAGGCCCAGAGTTCAACTACCAACATAAAAAAAATCGTTAAATAATAACAAATATCTTAATTTTATTCAAATGAAGATAAGAGGCAACAATTTCATAGAATTGAAACTGGAAGTAAAATAAGAGCTATTTTATTTTATTTTATTTTTTTGGTCGGTGGTGGGGCTTGAACTCTGGGCCTGGGCGCTATCCCTCAGCTCTTCAGCTCAAGGCGAGCGCTCTACCACTTGAGCTACAGCGCTACTTCCAATAAGAGCTATTTTATATCATGGTTATTTATTTGTTTTGCTCATCTAAACAAATCATTACTTTGCTAAACCAAGACTTAGGATTTGAGAATAGTAATATACAAAAATACTTGGTGGTTTCTATAGGAAAGTCAGTTGTTAAATACTAGTAAAACTAATTAAAAAATCATGGGTTCTGAGTTCAAAACCCAGTATCACAAAAAGAAAAAAAAGAAACAAAAAGAAAGAAAAAAGATGGACACTATGGAAAAGCCTAGGGTTCCATGAGATTAACAAAACTACTGGACCAGTCTTTGAAGTGGAAGATGGGGATTCATATTGATGGAAGGTTATACAAACAACTAATTACTAAGCTAACAACTAATAACTCTAAGCAGAACAGGAATCCAGCAAGTAAGAAAAGGAAAGAATATTTTTAGGGCTGGGAATGTGACTTAGTGGTAGAGTGCTTGCCTTGCACGCATGAAACCCTGGGTTCCATTCCTCAGTACCACATAAACACAAAATGCCAGAAGTGGCACTGTGGTTCAAGTGGTAGAGTGCTAGCCTTGAGCAAAAGAAGCTCAGGGACAGTGCCCAGGCCCAAAGTCAAACCCCCAGGACTGGCAAAAAAAAAAAAAAAAGATTTTTAGCAGAGTGGGGTGGGGCAGTAAAAGAGGAGGGAGATGAGTGAAAACCAAAATGATGGAAGTAGAGAAGGAACTCATGGTGAGTGAAAAGTGGTGAAACAAAGTGGGTCTGCAGACTATATCCATTTAACTCAGTCTTGAGGACCACTGTGGTTGGTAATTTAGTCATCTTAATTCCTGGATTCTTAAATCTGCTACCTAGTTCTTAAATTTAACCTTAGTAAACATATTAAAATAATAGCTTATCAATACATTTTTCTTTAAAAGACGATGGTAACTCATATGTCTTGCCCACGTAAAAAAGAAATGTGGCTGGGACTGGGAAGGTGGCTCACTGGTAGAATATTTGCCTTGCATGCATGAGGCCCTGGGCTCGAGTACTCAGCGCCACATAAGCAGAAAAGCCGGAAGTGGGTGCTGTGGCTCAAGTGGTAGAGTGCTAGCCTTGAGCTGAAAAGCTGAGGGACAGCACCCAGGCCCAGAGTTCAGGCCCCACAACCGACCAAAAAAAAAAAAAAAAAGTGGCAAGATAAAAGGACTCTAGGAACACAAAGCACAGCCAAAGTTCATATATACATATAAACCAGTTGTTAAGAACAGCATCTTCTTTTTAACTAGATTTTTCTTTTAACTAGCAACTAAATCTTGAGTTTGAACAGTTTGCTTTGTGGATTCACCATCAATAACAAGTTCTAAAATGATATCATCTACTTACCGACTCTAGTACAGTTTTCTCAAACACATCTAGTCTTCGTGTCTCCAGAGCAATGCCAATAGCCTGCTTGTACTTGTGATCATCTAGACATCGCTGGAACATTTTATTTACAATGCCTTCCAGTCTCTGGTCAATTGGCTTTTTCTCTCCCTCAGGCAAATCTGCATTTTCCACACACTGTTTGGTATAGTGATCAATGCATTTTGCTATAGAGAAAAAAAATAACACATTACTTTATACTTATAAGGTAACTATAAATTTGCACATTTCAAAATGTTACTTGATTTATATTTTCAATTAAAATTTCTATGTGAGATACTGGTGGCTCATGCCTGTAATCCTAGTTATTCAGAAGGCTGAGATCTGAGGATCGCAGTTCAAAGTGAGCCCCGGCAGGAAAGTCCATGAAACTCTTACCTCCAATAAACTCAGAAAAAGCCAGAAGTGGCGCTGTGACTCAAGTAGTAGAGCACTAGCCTTGGGCACAAAGAGGCTCCAGGATAGTGCCCAGGCACTGAGTTCAAGTTCCAGTACCAGCAAAAAAACAAAAAAAACCCACCTGCAATAAAACTTGCAAGTTAGTTATCTTTCTTTGAAATAACATAGAAACTTTCTAGGTACAAACAGAAAAGCTTCCTTTTACATTCATACAGAACATAAACAGCCACTAGAGAGGAGAGATGTACACTCTAATTATCCTTTCTAAAACTCACTGGCTGGTCTCCCCTTTCAAAGAAAAAAAGGAAACTAGGAAAAGATTAAGTAGTTCCAAATTATAACCCTAAACCCAAGTAATTTGTACTAGCATAAGGGACTGTTAGTCACTCCGAAGGCCCATGTTAAATGAGTCTGTATTTCTAGGAGAGATGCAGGCTTAATAAAAGGGAGTATGCCACATTCAGGGTTCATCCAGACAGAACTGTGATGGTTCAAGTCCAAGAAGTAAGAACAAAAGAGTAGTCACAAAACAGACACAAAACAATTCTGACTATAGATAATCTTCAGGTCCCAACAAGAGCTTTTCAATCAATTGCAGGTAAGTGTAGAAACATCATCCTTATTCCATCATAACAAAAGTTAAAATCAGGACATGTGGAAAAATTTCCTTAGATCATATAACTGAAGGGGAAACTGAATCTCCCAAGTTTCAAGTTAGGTTCCTTCTTCCACATTAAATTTATGTTTATCTCATAACTCTATTCCAACTTCATATGGTAACAATGCCTAAAATCAAGCCTCATTTCCAGCTTACCAAAACCAGGAGAAAATTTCCTGTCTTCTATTTTCTTTTTTTTTTATTATTATTTTTGGGTCCGGTTGTGGGGCCTGAACTCTGGGCCTGGGCACTGTCCCTCAGCTCTTCAGCTCAAGGCTAGCACTCTACCACTTGAGCCACAGCACCACTTCCAGCTTTTTTCTTTTTGCTTATGTGGTGCTGAGGAATCAAACCCAGGGCCTCAGGCATGCAAGGCAAGCGCTCTACCACTGAGCCACCTTCCCAGCCCGTGTCTTCTATTTTCTGTATGTACTGTTTATGCAATTCATTAAGATTGTAGGAAACCTTTTCAAAATTCTACTTTATACACCCCCTTAAGTTTCACTGATTTATACAAAATTATGACAATACAAAACCAGATGGGCAATTCATACTTCCATCCAAGCAAGCAAATAAAACTGGTCTCTGGGTCCTCAATTACCTTTAATAAGCTAAGACAAAACATATGGTTTAGAGATAGGGAAGGCTTCTACTACCACACTGTACTTTATAATTAGTGTCCTATCTACAAGGGATATTTGTACATGGTTGCAGATCATTGCTGGAAAAATGATCACGTGAAAATTCCTCATCAGAAAATTCCTTAGATTACGTATGTAACTGTAACCCTTCTGTATATCACTTTGACAATAAAATTAAATTTAAAAAGAAAAAGAAACAAACCCCAATGATACCAAATTACAAAACTTTTTAAAAAATTAAAAAAAAGAAAAAAAAATTAAAAAAAAGAAAATTCCTAAGAACAATAAAAAAGATAACAAGTGTGTTTTACCCCTGACTTCTTTTGTTTCATAATTTCTATTTTGGTTGTGTCAAGGATTAACATGTAGACATTTTAGTTGAACACAAATCTTAGCATACATATCAAATGCCTAAAGCCATATATATGTTTTTAAATTTTCCTTAACAGGATGCCAGTAGCAATATTTTTAAATACTGGACTATAAATACAAATTACTTAATTTCCTCCAATTCACAATTCTATATAATATACACTACATATTTAAGTTTTCTATTTTTCACAGCATAATGACAAATTAGGAAAACTGAACTACCATGACCAAAGGTATTACCAAATAAAACACAATTCTGACAGAAAAGATTACTTCTAACAATGTGAGGAAAGTGCTCTGGTTTCAAACAATAAGGTCTATCCTGTAAAACCATTTTTCTTCCTGTAAGATTCACAGACCAGCTAGACAGCAGTGGTTCATGCCTAATCCTAGCTACTCTCAAGACAGAGCTCTGAGGATCATGGTTCAAAGCCAGGACAGGCAGAAAAGTCCATGAGACTCTATCTCCAATTAAGCAACGAAAAAGCAGGAAGTAGAGCAATGGCTCAATTGGTAGAGCACTATCCTTGTGCAGAAAAATGCTCAGAGAGTGCGCCCAGGTCCTGAGTTCAAGCCTCAGGACTAGTACAGAAACAAACAAAAATATCACAGATGAAAAAATATGAACAAAGAATCCTAGTTAAAAACTGGACACAATGTTATGCTGTAATCCCTGCTACCTGGAAGACTGAGGCAGGAGGGTTATGAGTTCATAGTCAGCCTGATCAAAATAGCAAGACAATGTCCAAATAAAAGAAGAACTGGGCTGGAGGTGGTTTGTTTTTTTTAGGGGGGGGGGTCTGGGGGATTTGTCAGTCATGGGGCTTGAACACAGGGCCTCAGAGCTGTCTGTGAGCTCTTTTGCTCAAGGCTAGCACTCTATCACTTTGAGCCACAGTACTACTTCCAGTTTTCTGGTGGTTAGATGGAGGTAAGAGTTTCACAGGGACTTTTCTACCTGGGCTGGATTCCAAACATGATCTTCAGAGAACAGCCTCTTGAGTAGCTAGGATTACAGGTGCTACCAACAACCAGCTGAAGGTGGCTTAGTGGTAGTGTCGATTTAGCAAGCATGAGGCTTTGGGTTCAAATCCCAATACTATCTTAGTTAGAACTTCAAGGACATTTTAAGGTACAGTGTACCTTTTAATGCCAGTACTTTCCCAATTTAATTTCTGAAAGAGAATCCAATTCTCTGCCTTTAAGACTTCAGGTGAGGGCTGGGAAGGTGGCTCAGCGGTAGAGTGCATGCCTTGCAAGCATGAGGCCCTGGGTTCAATTCCTCAGCACCACATAAACAGAAAAAGCCGGAAGTGGCGCTGTGGCTCCAGTGGTAGAGTGCTAGCCTTAAGCTGAAGAGCTGAGGGAGAGGGCCCAGGCCCAGAGTTCAGGCCCCATGACCGGCAAAAAAAAAAAAAAAAAAAGACTTCAGGTGAATAATGCAGATTTCCTTAGTCAACAATACAAAGTACCTACACTGTACATTCTTGGCATAGTACCTACTCAGGAGCCCTCTGAAACTATGATTCCAAGCTTCATAGCTGCAAGACATGTCTGAGGGCATGCTCTCTTCCCTCAACTACTAGATATATGCTTTCAGACTTTTTTTTTAAGCTACAAAGTCTTTAAACAAAGAAAGCCTTTTATAATTTTGAGAGGTTTTGGCTTGTGCTGGAGATTGAACCCAAGGTCTCAGACGCACTTGGCCAGCACTTTACCATTGCACTATACCAGAAGCCCAGGCCTTACATAGTTATTGAACTTGTAACTCTGGTTGAAATAAAAGATAAAGAGATGCAAAAGCCTCATCTATAAGGTTACCCACTGCTATAGCTGAATGTTCTCCAGCAGCCCATTTGTTGGTTTGTCTCCAGTTTGGCACTGTTGGTTGTATGAAGGAATCTTTAGGAGGCAAAGCTTGGGAAGATTAAGGTATTGGGGCATGCCCTTGAACAGAATCCCAGGGCCTATCTACCAACTCTTCCACTTCCCAAAAATGAAACAAGCAGCCCTCCTCTACTATGTATTTTCCACCATGATGTGGCCCCTTGCCATAGGCCCAAACCATCATGGACCTTGAAAAAACTGTGAGCCAAAACAAGCCCTTCCCCTTTACAAGTTGATAGTCTCAGATGCATGTTATAATGATAGAAAACTAACACATCCTTTCTACTCACTTCAAAAATACACAAATAGGGCTGGGAAGGTGGCTCAGTGGTAGAGTGCTTGCCTTGCATGCATGAGGCCCTGGGTTCGATTCCTCAGCACCACATAAACAGAAAAAGCCGGAAGCGGCACTGTGACTCAGGCGGTAGAACGCTTGCCTTAAGCTGAAGAGCTGAGGGACAGCATCCAGGCCCAGAGTTCAGGTCCATGACCGGCACAAAAACAAAACAACAACAACAAATAAAACACAAATAAATTAAGCCTGGTGACATCCACCTGTAATTCCAAGGTAGGAAGCTGAGGCAGTAGGATCACAAGTTCAGGGCCAGCCTGAAGTCATGATACCTGCCTCAAAAAGCAAAACGAAACAAGTAAGAAGGAGGAGGGCTATATAAATCAATATCATGGGGCTGGGAAGGTGGCTCAATGGTAGAGTGCTTGCCTTGCATGCCTGAGGCCCTGGGTTCGATTCCTCAGCACCACATAAGCAAAAAGAAAAAAGCCAGAAGTGGCACTGTGGCTCAAGTGGTAGAGCACTGGCCTTGAGCAGAAGAGCGGAGGGACAGCGCCCAGGCCCAGAGTTCAGGCCCTACGACCGGACCCAAAAAAATAAAATAAAATAAAAAAATCAGTATCATTTAATTTGTCATTCATAATAATCTTAGTTAAGCATTATGTAAAACTACTCACTGGATTAGTGACACAATAGCTAACTAGCATTCAGAGACAGATCTGAAAACCCAGCCTACATAAAGTTATTACAGAAAAAATATGTACTTCCAATTAAAATAATTTGGTCGTGAGAGACGGGGTAACATTGTTCAAAAAGAAATGTACTCAATGCCTGACTTACATAACTGTAAGCCCTCTGTATGTCATCTGTATAACAATAAAAAATAAAATAATAATAATAATTTGTAAACCTCATATTCAGAAAAAAAGAAAAATGCTACATATACCAGGGCACAAAGGAAGTGGCCAAGACAGCAGGTAATTACCTATAATAGTTTCCACATATTCAGAATTATCATTGACATTGAAGAGGTCACCTGCTCCAAGAGCATAATTCAGAGATTCCTCAAAAGCCCCCAGGTGATAAAATACTTTAGATGCCACCAAGGCTGCAAACTGCCGACTCCGGAAACCTTCATCTTCATATAAAACTTCTCTGAAAGAAATTAGGAAAAGACAGATCTCATTTAAGTTGTGGTTTTCCTTAAAAAATATCAAATCTAGGATCATATGGATCAAGATATATTGTACTTATAAACTGATTTGCTGAAAGGAAGCTTCTTTGTACAACTACTTAAATAACAAAATAACATAAATCCCAAATCGAGCTGCTTGCAGGTAGCTCAAATTCTAGCTACTTTAGAGATGAGATCAGAACAAAAGAGTTCAAGTTCACCCAGTTCATTTTCAAGACGCCCTCAACTCATAGCTGAGTGCAGTGGCTCACACCAGTTATCCCAAACTACATGAGAGGTTGAGATTGGGAGGACTGAGGCTCCACACCAGAGGGGACAGTAAAGTCAGAGAGATTCCAACTCACTGTTCTCCAAGGAAGCCTGAAATAGGTGGATGGAGGTTTAGTGGTGAATGTAGGAAGGAAGCAAGATCGTATCTCAAAAAATAACCAGTGAAAAACAGGTCTGAGGACGTGGCTCAGATGGTAGAGCACCTACCTAGCAAGAATGAGGCTCTGAGTTCAAACCCCAATACTGCCCCCGACCAAAAAGGCCAAATCTAAACACTCAAGCCACAATTTAGAAGTAAATTCCTACATGAAGTAATAAAACGAAAGACTCACATCCACAGAAAATGATCTACCTTACTTAAAATTATAGAAATTGCTTACATTTTGTCTACAGACTCCGAGATTTCTGCCCAGAAGTCATTGACAACTGCATTCAATTTGTGTAGTGCAAATTCCTGTAAAAGACAAAACCAAAATTCTATTTTGAGACAGACTTAGAAATACACATCCTTTAAAACTGCCCAACAAATCAATGGCCAAATACTTAGCAATATTTTCTACGGTCTTTAATTTATGACAAACACAGAAATTCATAAACTAACATGCTTTTTCTTGGGTTTAGATATTTCCTTTCTGCAATTACAAAACATCAGACTGATCATACACTGCTATTCCTTACTAGAATGAACCTTTTCTTTTTCTTTTTTGTCAATTGTGGAGCTTAAACTCTGGGCCTGGGCGCTGTCCCTCAGCTCTTCAGTGCAAGGCTAGCGTTCTACCACTTGAGCCACAGCACCTCTTCTGGTTTTCTGGTGGTTTACTGGAGATCAGAGTCTCATGGACCTTCCTGCCCAGGCTGGCTTTAAACCTCGATCCTCAGATCTAAGCCCCTGAGTAGCTAGGATTACAGGTGTGAGCCACCAGTGCCCAGCTTAAACCTTTTCCTTCTTTAAATATAGAAGACTGACATCAGGTTCCTAGATTAAAAACAAAACCTGGAGGGAGCCAGTGTGGTAGCAAATACCTCCCTGCTACTGGGGAGTGGAGATAGGAGGGCCAGAAGCAGAGGAGTGGGTCAAGTGGTAGAATGCCAGCCTTGAACAAAACTGAGTGTGGGTGGCATATGCTGGTGATCACAGCTATACAGAGGCTTAGGCAGAGGACGATCTCTGGCCTGGGGCCATAATGTGAAACCATATCTGAAAAATCAAAGCAAAAAGGGTTTGGGTTTTTTTGCTCCAGCAGCAGAAGTTCTAACCCCAGTAAGGCCAAAACCCCAGACCATTAAGAGAGGCTATCTGAGTAGCTCTGGTGGCGAAACACTTGCCTAGAATGTGTGAAGTTCTGGGTTTAATTCCCAGTACTGAAAAAAACAAACAAATAAAAAAAAGAACTGGAGGGTTAGTCCCAAGCCATCTTAAGGTTTGTCTGCCTCAATAAAGCTAAATTCAAGGAAAATCAACTGTTATCACTAAAAATACTACCTTCTCTAGCTAACTGTCTCCAGATGTAGGATGGCTACTTTAAATGACAGAAATGTAGATTTTACCATTTTAAAGCTTCACAGATTCACAGAATTCCTAAGTCTAGTGACTTTGTCTTCAACACATACCTTAAGCTGTGGTTCTTCTTCATCCAGAAGAGAAATGATTCCAGCTATAAGACAAAAGGTATATCATGATTGTAAGACATGTGTCCACAGGCAGAAATGAACATTTGGGGGCTTTTATTCTCATACAAGTGCAGCACTTTTGTAGACACTGGAAACACTGGAGGTAGAGGGACCTTACAGACTTAAGGGTCCATAAATATCTGCCAAGCAACAAGCATTTAATCTACCAATCAAGACAAAATACAGCTTAGGAGAAAAGAAAAATGTCCTATACATTTCAATCAATGGAGTGTGCCCCCAAAACCATGGGTGTGGATATGCATGTGAGTGTTCAGAGCTCTGGCTGCACATACATCACTTTATGGGCACTGTCACAGATTAGTAAGCCTAACAACTTTGCCAGAGGGACACGATACTCAGGTGAAGAATGCTGCTTAAAGTCTTACAACCAACTAGAATCAGAAACTTGGAGAGTCTATCAAAAGCACTGATAGATGGTCTGGGAAGATGGCTTAGTGGTAGAGCAGTTGGCTGGCATGCATGGAGCCCTGGGCTCGCTGGATTTGATTCCTCAGTACCACTTCCACAGCATCAGAAGTGGTGCTGTGGCTCAAGTGGTAGAGCACTAGCCTTGAGCAAAAGAAGCTCAGGGACAGTACACTCAGGCCAAGTTGAAGCCCCAGGACTGGGGGGGCGGGGGGAGGGCACTGATAGAGGCAGGGATGGTGATAGCCACAGAATGACAGAAGACGGATTACTTTATGAAAAAACATAGCATTTTACAGGAACAACTGCTCTCCCTTTCTGTCCCTAGTTGTATATTTCTGAATTTTATGTATGGCATCATACATGACTCTACAAGGAAGGAAAAGAGAGGAACAGAATCTTCATGGACTGAATCACAATGTAGACAAATACTGAATGGGAGACTTGTGAGGAAGAAATGGATGATAGCAAACTGTACTGAACTAGCCACTAGGAAGACGGAAGGAGATGGAAGATTGTCCATACTCTTCAGCTGGGAACCTTTACATGTGCAATATTTATATTTATTATACTTATTATACAGTTACCTACGAGGTGAGAAAACTAACCAAAACAAAAAGTAGTGTGTTGTGACTGTACTGACATAAGAAGTTCAATTCACAACAAACACCTGTTTGTCCCACTTAGAAACATCCTAACATTTAGGGTCTTTCAAGATGAGCCCAGTACCAGCTCTTCCCTTCCTATTTCCATCTCCCCATTCTCCCATTTCTTATAAAGTATTATGTGTAGGAGATGAATTGCTTGTTCTTGTTGTAGAGTAGCTTTGTTCCTAATTGTCTCTCATGTCTCTAACATGTGAAAACACTCAAGAAGTCTTTTGAGAAAATAAATTAAAATTGGTCAAAACATGCCATTCTTATATGTAATCCTAGCTACTCAAGAGGATGAAGTCTTAAGGAATTCATGGTAGAAAAGTCTGAGACTCCATCTCCAAAATAACCAGCAAAAAGCTATGCTGGAAATATGGCTCAAGTGATGAGTACCAAACAAGCAAGCAAGCAAGCCAAGCAAGCAAGCATGAGGCCTTGAATTCAAACACTGGTAAAGGCAAAAAAAAAAAAATGCTAATAGATAGATAGGCAGACAGACAGACAGACAGATAGATATAACAGTTAAATGCTGGGCATTCCCAGCATTTGGGAAGCTAAGATAGGAAGATTCTGAATTTGAGGTCAGTCAGGGTTATAAAACCTTGTCTTAAAGAAAGAAAAAAGTATAGCTTAGGGGTGACTTCACTAGGGGAACTATAATTTCATTCTTCTTTTATTTTTTATTGCTATTATAAAGGTGATGTACAGAGAATTTCACCTCTTTTAAAACTATTTTGAAGCTGAAAATTAACTGTTGCCAACCTCTCATGAAATATTGTGTGTGTGCTCATACATACACACACACACACCACACACACACACAGTCAACAACCTCATTTATATCACGCCTTACAGAAGTTACATTATCTGGAAAACTATTAGAAATACAAATTCAGTGAGGGTACTCAGCTTTTTCCACTCATGGCTGGTACTCTACCACTTGCTGATCAACTGGAGATAGTCTTATGGATTTTTCTGCTCACGTTGACTTCAAACTGTGAATACTCAGATCCCAACCTCCTGAATAGCTAGGATTACAAGCCTGAGCCACTGGTGCCCAGAGAAATACAAATTCTTAACCTCACTCCATAACTTGAGAATTGGAAACAGGGGACTGGGTCTCAGAAGTCAAGCTTCCCTGTGATTCTTGTGCTTACTACAGATAAGAACCACCAGCCTACTTTAATGACCAAATTGGGAAACTTTCACATACAATTTTAGAATAAATTTTTTTCACACAAAATAAACAATTATAAAATTGCTTAGGGAAAAAGTTATATTTAACCATTAACCCAACAGAGTAAACTATCTCAATTATTTCAAGGTGCTCATATTAAGGCACCTCCTGCCTATCACAGCAACAGGGAAGAGTTTACTAAATGAGGAGCAAGTCGGCTCATTCTGAATTCTGTTACTTAAGCAATGTTTCCCATATGCCTTATCTTAAACGCTTCAGTAACAGGAGAATAAAAGAAATAACTGGCCTCTTTGAAAGAATACTCTTTAAAAACAGTCGTGCCAAAAATTTTATAAGAAAAGGAATGGGAAATTTTGTTGCACTATAAAGGAAACGAAATTCTTCCAAATATTTTCCATATGTCTTTGTTTTTTTGGGGTTTTTTTTGGCGGTCATGGGGCCTGAACTCTGGGCCTGGGCTGTCTGTCCCTCAGCTCTTTAGCTCAAGGCTAGCACTCTACCACTTGAGCCATAACACCACTTCCAGCATTTTTCTGCTTATGTGATGCTGAGGAATCAAACCCAGGGCTTCATGCATGCAAGGCAAGCACTCTATCACTGAGCAACCTTCCCAGCCTCCCCCCCCCCATATAGTTTTCAAAATAGCTCTGGAACAATTAGTTGAAACTGTGATTTGATTGATGAGGCAATTTGATTAGGAGATGTAGCTATTACTATGTAAAGGTTTGTCAAATAAATAGCTTAGCAGTCTTTAGGGAACCATAAGAAAATGGAAAAAGCACAAATTTAAGCAAGCAAAACTAGGGCACACTACTAGTCTGAAAACATAAAATAAAAATGTTTTTAAAATAAAGGACCTAGTACTCTAGGTTTGTGGGACAAATCTAGGTTTTAGTGTTAAACAGATAGCATAGAGAAGAGATAAATTAGAAATGCATCATTGTAGCCATTAGATGTTCCAATTAACTATTAAAATTATTTCCATTGGAAGTAGAGTTGTGGCTCAAGAGCTAGCCTTGAGAACAAAAGCTCAGGATAGTGCCCAGGCCCTGAGTTCAAACCCCATGACCAACACAAAAATGAAAAACATTTCCATTATTCATTTATAGATAGATAGATAGATACACATTTTTCAGTCAAAAGAAAGGGGCAAACTAGTAATATGGAATAGATGATGGGCCAGAATCTATATACACCATAGACCAGAATGCTGTATTTGAACAGTTTTTTCAAGAGAAGCTGGACTTTTATTTATTTTCACTTGGGACTAATTTGTTACACAGTTGTTTTAGCTAGAAGGTCAGCTTGTTCCAGTGGAACACAACTACATCAAATATTGTACACTCCACACATTAATATTTCCTTCTTCAAAGACAAAATAGAACTCTCCTTTGAATGGGTAGAATAGGAAAGGCCTAAGGATATGGAAAACTAGATCATCATAGGTAATCTATAGATACTTTCTAATTGCTGAGTTAACTTACAGCAATATCTGGATATTATTAGTACAGAGGTATGTTCCAGAAGACCCTGCTCCTGTTCAAAAGTTTAAGACAGGCACTGGTGGAATACACATACAATTCTAGCTACTTAAATGGAGATGTGCGGATAGTGATACAAAGCCAGCCAGGGCAGCAAAGTCCATGAGACTCTGATCTATTAACCATGAAAAAGGAAGTGTGAGCTGTGGCTCCAGTGGTAGTAGAGTGCCTGAGCACAAAGCTCAGGAACAGCTCCTACGTCCTGAGTTCAAGCCCTTGGACCAGGCACAGATGCACACATGTATGCATGCATGTGTGTGCGTGCACACACATATTTTAATGAAAGAATTGCCTCTGAAGATCAGGAAGGCAGAAGTGTAGGAGACTACTGTTTTAATTAGCTTAGCTTTCCTCTATGTCCTGTGCTATTTAAGTTAAATCAAATCCTTGTAATTTCACATCTCTCCAGTAAAAAAGCATCCATCTCTTCACTCCCTCCCTTCATCCTCAAATCTAGCTACTCAGGAGGCTGAAATCTGGGGATCATAGTTCAAAGCTAGCCCAGGCAGGCAAGTCCAAGATACTCTTATCTCCAATTAACTATTTTAAAAAACAAATAACTAAAGTGGAGGTGTGGTTCAGCTGATAGAGCACTAACTACTCTTGAGTGAAAAAGCTCAGGGACAGCAACCAGGCCCTGAGTTCAAGCTCTAGGACTGGCACCAAAAACAAAACAAAACCAACAAAAAACCAACAATCCCTTACTTCTTACCACTGGCTTTAGTGAGTATCAGTGCCTAGTGAATACAGGCACACCAGCACCACACTGGACTGCTTAGCACCTGGGACAGATCCTAAGCTATAGGAAAAGAAACTAACAAAAGGTGTGGAGAAGCTAACATGTAGTCTAACAAACTTAACAAATGATAGTTAACAAGATGATATCAGAATAAGGTCAAACAATCTTTTGGCCTCTACTTCAAAAACTGTAGGGTCTTATTGATCGATTTGCTTGGTTGGCTGATTTCTTCATTTAACATATATTTCTGAACTGCTGCCATATTCTCAGCAGTTTTCTAAGAGCAGAGAAAACCATTGTGCCCAAAGTTGAACTACAGAGAGATAGGCAGTGATCAGGGAAGTAGACAAACAATGTAACTAGAGAATTGTGATGGAGAGGTGCAGCAAGGGAGAAGTCAGCATTTAAAAAGAAGTTAGATAAGGCTAACACTTCAGTTAAGACTAAAGATTGGGAAGCTGAGACAACGAGAAAAGTTGAGAAATGGAATTAAATGGGCAAGGACTTTAAAAAAGAAACAAAATTTTTTTTTTAAAAAAAAAGGTCAGTGTGCACCCAGGCCCAGAGTTCAAGCCCCACGACCGACAAAAAAAAAAAAAAAAAGGTCAGTGTGTTTGGGATATAGTGTGGATGAGAGGCAGCACTGGAGAATTTTAGGCAAAGATCTCAGTGGCTCAATACCTATGTGCATATGACCATATAAAATGATGTTTATTGCCGGGTGCCAGTGGCTCTCGCCTATAATCCTAGCTACTCAGGAGGCTGAGATCTGAGGATCACGGTTCAAAGCCAGCCTGGGCAGGAAAGTCCGTGAGACTCTTATCTCCAATAAACCACTAGAAAACTGGAAATGGCACTGTGGCTTAATAGGTAGAGCGCTGGCCTTGAGCTGAAGAGATGAGGGACAGCACCCAAGCTGACTTCAAGCCCCATAAACAAAAAAAAAAAAAAAAGAAAAAATACGATGTTTATTGAAATGAACTCCAAGAAATGGAAACAAGAGGGATTTTAGTGTACTGCTTGCAGTTATTTCTCCCCCCCCCCCACTTTTGGTTTATTCTCTGTTGACACCACTTTTTATTTCTGTACCCATTGTCTTGCATATAAGTTTATCTTATTTGGGAAAGAAAGGGAAAGAGAATCAAAGAAATGGTTGGACAGAGAGTGAACCAATGCAACAGTGGTACTCACTAGACACTATGCTGGAAATGAACTTTACAACTTTGTTGGGGAGGTGAGTGTGGGGGAAAACAGGAGAAAATGAGGAAGGGGGTAACACTGTTCAAAAAGAAATGCATTCATTACCTTACTTATGTAACTTAACTAAACACTCTGTACATCACCTTTACAATAAAATTTTTCAAAAAATAAATAAAAGCTGCTATGATCTTCAAAAAAAGGGGGCTTAAAAACTCTGAAAACATGAACAAGGTCAACAGAGGTACTGCAGAAGATCAAAGTCTTATGGCTATTATCACAACTCTGGGAAGAGATGAAGGTGGTTCGGGCCAAGACAGAAATGAGTAAGTTATTTCTGGGTCCATTCTAAGGGTATTCAGTTAGGCATCCAGAGAACTTTTGTGTTCAGTGAAAGCTACACGCAGAAGACAGCGTTAATATATACTGAGAGCCAGTGGCAATGGAGGATCTGAAATGGAATGAGGCATATATTTACAGGTGGCAAGAAATTTAATGTTTATATTAAGAATTTGTCCACTGGAAAAGTTCTTCCTCTTACTAAACTAACATTCTCAATCCTTTGTATCCTATGGAGACAAAAGACTAATTCCAGGAAGAGTTAGCAGCTACTAAAGTGTTTGAAAATACCGTAAACTCACCTGTAATCCTAGCTATTCATGTGGCTGAGCTCTGAGGATCTTGATGTAAAGACAGCCAGCGCATGAAATTCTATGACGCTCCAATTAACCAGCAAAAAGCTTGCAGTGGAGCTGTGGCTCAAATGGCAGAATGCCAGTGCATTGAGTGCAACAGCTAAGGGACAGCGCCCAGGCCCTGAGTTCAAGCCCCAGTACCAGCACTAAACAAAGAAACAAAACACTACCATATCATCTAGTATCTCCCAGCTTCCTCGATTAATCCTCAAAAAACGTTGAGCTCCTTACCACCCAGCTTACTGTCTTCTGATCACGTTTGTTTGCAAGATAGCTATGGACAAGTACACAGTAAAGAGACAAGAAAGGAAACAGAAGCAGCCAAGAAGAAAACAAAACAAAACAAAAACAACAACGACAACAAAACCACTAGTGGACAGCTATTAGAAAAATCAGTTTGTAGTTAGGAGTTTAAAAAGAATCTCCATAAGTTGATCCCTATAGCTATTCTATTTCGATTGTCACTACCTTAACTAAAACTACTATAAGTGTACGAAACTTACTCCACAGACCTATTGAGTTCTATCTTGGATGCAGAATACGTACTGAGCACCAGCCTGAAGAAAAGTTGTTAAGCTGGCTCGCTCAGCTGTAATGCTGTCTTCAGGGTGCTGTCTACAGCGAACTAAGTTCTCGGGGGTGCTTAACTGAATACCATGGCACTGGCCGATCTCAAACCTCATTTCGGATCTCACTCTAAGGAGAACCAATGCATGATGGCTAGATCCAGAAGCATCTATGCAGCAGCCTCGCCAGACACCCACCCCAGACGCCCGTGGGGAGGGACTGGAGTGAAACAGCCCTACAACGACCAAGGCCAGAAGGTCAGGCGGAAGGAAAACTCCTCCAGGGGGGTCCAGGACTGGCCCCAGGCAGCCCCGGTGGTCCCCGCCCGGGGGTGTGGCAAGAGAGACCGCCGAGGTGGTGGACCCCGGAGGGTCCGGCTCGATTCTCGGAGGCCGAAGGAGCCCGATCGGCCTCCCAGCCCCCGAGCCCGGGTGGGCCTGGGCGGCGAGGGGCCGCGCGGCCGGCGCTCCGCCCGGAGGTGCCCAGTCACCGGCCCTGACTCAGCTAAAAGCCGGCTCGGGCGCGGCTCCTCCCTCTGGACGCCGACTCCCAGACCCGCTCACCGGCTGAGGTGATCATGGCTGCGTCCTGCACTCGCCCGTCCGCTCGCTCGCTGTCCTGGCCGCGCCGGTATCTGTCAGCTCGGGCCCGCTCGCCGCCCCGCGCCTCCCGACTCTCCCGGTGCGCGGCTCAGTCAGCCGCCCGCTCAGGCCGCCGGCTCGCTTCTTGTCTAGGACCCCGCCCGCCCAGGAGCTGCCCGCCGCACTGCCTGCCGCCGCGCGCGAATCCTTGCCACCTTAGATGTTTTTTGCACCTCTGCCTCCCGCACAGAGGATACATAAATGATGCCTTTGTTCCCATAACATTCCTCGAGGTCAGTGTTTCTGAGGAGTGGGAATATTATCCTGCACCTGCATCAGGCTTTGCAATGGCAACCCCTGCAAAGAAAGGACCCGCTCATTCACCCGCCATTGCGAGGAGAAAGGGTGGAAGGGAAGGTGTGAGCATCTTCCGCAGTGCCACCTGCTGTCTGGGCTGTCTCACTGCAGCATCCCCCACCAAGGCAAGACTGGGAATTTGAAGTTGTGACCTGGTTTCTTAAAAAAAAAAAGTGACTTTCTGCCATTGAATTGGAGTCTCAACGCTAACGGTTGTAATGGGAAGCTATGGTGATGGTTGGAGTCAGTGAGTGACCGTTAGAGACCAGGAGGCTCGATTCTTCGAAGCTAGAAGGAAAGGATGGTAAGCGACTCAGACTATTTTGGATTTATAGTGGTAACTAAATGTCATGGAAGCTACATTTGTAAGCTTAAATTTTCTTTTTACAATTATCTTTAATTAGTTGTACAAAGGGGTTTCAATTCAATTTGTTCATGAGTACAATACATCTTTTTTTTTTATTGTGAAAATGCCATACGGAGAGAGGGGTTACAATTACATGGGCAAGTAATGAGTGTGTTTCTTTCTTTCTTTCTTTCTTTCTTTCTTTCTTTCTTTCTTTCTTTCTTTCTTTTGTCAGTTGTGTGGCTTGAATTCTGGGCTTGGGCGCTGTCCCTCAGCTCTTCAGCTCAAGGCTAGCGCTCTACCACTTGAGCCACAGTGCCACTTCCCATTTTCTGGTGGTTTATTGGAGACAAGAGTCTCATGGTCTTTCTTGCCCAGGCTGGCTTTGAACCGTGATCCTCAGATCTCAGCCTCCTGAGTAGCTAGGATTATAGGCGTGAGCCACCAGTGCTCTGCTGAGTACATTTCTTATCAAGCATTGTTGCCTCCTCCTTTGTTTCCCCTTTCCATCCCTTCCCATCTCCACCCCCCCCCCATACATCTTGATCAAGGCTACCCTTTTATCATTCTCCATTCTCCCCCTTGTCTCCAGACCCCACCCATTTTCTCAATTTCCTAGTTCCATTTTCCCTTAGGTACATTGAACAGCATGATTACATTCTCCCACCCTTCCTCTCTCCATTGATCTACCCCCTTCCCTTGATCATGCCAGCCTCCCACACATACCTGAAGTTCCAACTTCCTGTATGCATTTAAATAAGTAAAAAAAAAAAAAAAACCAAAAACGTGATTTCAGTGCTGTATTTTAAGTCATTATTCCTAAAGTGTTATTTCGATGTGCAATCAGGATGAAATATTGATATATTTTATAGTTTAAAAAAATGGAAGAGAGGGGCTGGGAAGGTGGCTCAGTGGTAGAGCGCTTGCCTTGCATGCATGAGGCCCTGGGTTCGATTCCTCAGCACCACATAAGCAAAAAGAAAAAAGCCGGAAGTGGCGCTGTGGCTCAAGTGGTAGAGCGCTAGCCTTGAGCTGAAGAGCTGAGGGACAGCACCCAGGCCCAGAGTTCAGGCCCCACGACCGAACCCAAAAAAAAAAAAAAATGAAAGAGAAAGAAAGGTGACTTTCTAGGCTGAGGCAGAGGGATCACGAGCTTAAGGTCAGTATGAGTTACATAGTGAGACAGTCTCAAAAAAAAGGGATTTTCTAATTTATTAATAGCAAACTCTGCCTTCAAAATAAACCTCAGAGAAAGGTTTTTATAACAAATCCATCACTAGTCATTCTGTTGTAAAGTTAAACAATGAAGATTGTTTATTTACTTTTAGAGTAACTCATACTGGACATTAACGTGTCAAAAATTAGGAGTAAGTCTGAAGTCAATAACTTACCCCTATAATCCTAGCTACTCTGGAGGCTGAGATCTGAGGATCAAGGTTTGAAACTAATTTAGGCAGAGATGCAGAAAAGTCCATAAAACTCCATCTCCGCCAGACGCTAGTGGCTCACGCCAGTAATCCTAGCTACTCTGAAGGCTGAGATCTGAGGAGCACAGTTCAAAGCCAGCCTGGGCAAGAAAGTACCTGAGACTCCTATCTCCAATAAACCACTCAGAAAACAGGAGGTGGCGCTGTGGCTCAAGTGGTAGAGTGCTTACCTTGAGCTGAAGAGCTGAGGGACAGCACCCAGGCCCCGAATTCAAGCCCCACAAATGACAAAATAAAAATAAAAAAATAAAATTCCATCTCAAAGGAAGAAACTGGGTGTGGCAGTGTATACCTGTCATCCAGCTTTGAAAGAAAGTGAAAAATAGGAAGATCACTATCCCGGTGTGGACCCAGGCAAGAAGTAAAACCCTATCTCAAAAATACCCACTGGAAGCTGGGCACCGGTGGCTCATGCTTGTAATCGTGCTATTCAGGAGGCTGAGATCTGAGGATTGCAATTTGAAGCTGCCCAGGCAGAAAAGTCCTATCTCCAATTAACCACCCAAAAATCCAGAAGTGGAGCTGTGGCTCAAAGTAGTAGAGCACTAACCTTGAGCAAAAATGCTCAGAGACAGGCTCAGGCTCTGAGTTCAAGCCCCACAACCAACCAAAATAAAGACAAAACAGTAGGAAAAAAAAGAGGAGGATACTCTTAGGAGAGGGACATAAAGGCAAAGGCCTTTGTGTCCTCGGATGATATAAAATAGTATATACCAAAATGAACTCCAGGAAAAGGAAACAAGAGTGTTTTTTTTCTTTTAACAACAACAACAACAACAAAATTAGTATAACATCTCATGACCCTGAGTGCAAACCCCAGTATTGAAACAAAGCAGGGAGAGGGAAGAAAGAAAAGAGAAATAGTCGTTCACAGCAAAGCAGTTGCCAATCATGCATAAGGTCCTAAGTTTGTTTCCCAGTACCAAGAGTGAGATGGGAGTGGAAGGGAAGCAGGGAAGAAGAGAAGGGGAAGGAAAGAAGGGAGGGAAAGAGAGAGGGATCGCAGCCCCCCCTCCTTGTGAAGCAGCTGCTATTCAGCTCCTACAGTGTTACCTTGCATGACTGTGAGTTAACTCAGAGTTTTTCCAAGAAATGATCATCCCATGGGACATTTTGGGAGTATCATTCATTCATTCATTTTTGCAGGTTAGAGATGGAATCCAGAGTGTGTACTCTACCTACCACTCAGCTATAGCCCCAGTCCTAGTTGCCAACTAATCCAAAATGCTAGCATGTATAAATGCTTCTACTCCTTAAAACCCTCTGTCCACCTGGGGCCCATTTCTCTCATCTCTGCCTTCTGTGTTTCTCAGCTACTGATGCAGGAACTTGGGAACACCCCAACTGTTTAATTCCCTCTCAGCCACCAGATCTTGTCCCCTTAACATCTGTCCTGCCATCCTCGCCCCATTACCTATTGTCCATCATTCTCTCTTCTTTCCTGGAAGCAACAGATTCCAATAGCTGTGACTTCCTGCTTGCCATCTCCCAACTTTCCTGACCATTCCTCACAGCCAACCAGATGCACCATCCAAACCAAATAAAGGGGTCTTTACCTCCCATTTCCTACATGGAGAGCAGTAAACGGTTTTCTTTTACTGTGACTCTTAAACCATCCAGCTGGAGCCCACCATTCCCCTCAACCGTGCACCGTTCTCTCTATTAAACTCCTTGCTTTGGGGCTGGGATGTAGCTCAGTGGCAAAGCGCTTGCCTAGCAAGTGCAACGTCCTGGGTTCGATCCCCAGTACCAAAAAAAGAAAAGACAAAAAAAAATCCAGTTAAACTCCTTGCTTTGTCTTTCCCAGTCTTGGGGCTTGATCTCGAGGCCTGGGTGCTGTCCCTTAGCTTTTTTGCTCAATGCTAATGGCTCTACCACTTGAGTCACAGCTCCACTTCCAGCTTTGGGTGGTTAACTGGAGGTTAGGGTCTCATTGACTTTCCTGTCCAGCAGGCTGGCTTTGAATTTCAGTCCTCAGATCTCAGCCTCCTGAGTAGCGAGGATGACAGGCGCGAGCTCTATTTTGGAGCTAAGGCTGAGATCGCGGGAGGAATTCTGACAGCTTGGGCTCTGCTGGTAAGAAATGATCCCCATCCAAGTTCAGAAGGACCCCCGCGGTGGACAGGCCTGAAAGCGGGGAGCAGCCGGCGACCCCCGGCGGCCCCCTCACCCCCAGGCCGGGGGCATCACCGCCCGGCCCAGCCCGCACTGTGCCCGCCCGGGGCCTCGGACGGGCTCCGTGGTGACAGCCCGCGGACCCGCGTGGTAGTGGGCGGAAGCGGACCGTGGAGCTCCGCGCGCGGTGACCCTGGGGTCAGCCGAGCCCCACCGGCGCGGCCCCGCCCCGCGTTGCCTAGGAAACGGCGTCGTTAGAGCCGTGTGTGCCGGCGAGCAGAAACGTGATTGGCAGCCGGTCACGTGATCCGCGCACGGTGGGGTGGGAGATGGGGGGGGTGCATCTTGCCCTGAAACTGATCTGGGTAAACTGAGGCATGGAGGGGCTTCCCTCCCGGGAGGGAAGTCAGTGCCCTGGGCACCCGATGGGCCGCAGCGGCCCAGCTCCCAGAAAGGGAACCAGCGAACCCCGAGTCGCGTCTCCACCCCCGCCCCCAAATGTGCTCCTGCCAGCCAGGACCTGAACTGCGATGCTGTCACTGAAATTAATTCCAAGTTAAAGCCGGTGCCAGTGGCTCACACCTGCAATCCTAGCTATCCAGGAGAATCCTGGTTCAAAGCCAGCCTGGGCAGGAAAAGTCCTGGAGACTTTTACCTCCAACTAATGTACAAATAAGTCGGAAGTGGAGCTTCGGGCCTACCGAGTCAAGTGGTAGAGCACCAGCCTTAAACAAAAAAACAGGAATAGCGCCCAGGCCCCGAGGTCAAGCCCCCGAACCTGCATAAAAAATTAAATGGAAATGTGATCTTATGTTTATTTAATT